CTTAATTCAAATGCCTATAGGGTGTCCCTCTCTGAACCCCCACCGTTTCAGAAACTTTCATTCTCAAGCAGTTGCTGGCAACAAGGAAGGGCTGATCCTATTTCCCCAAATGTGGGATGTTGGTTTTAAAGTTTCAGGATGCAATGACAGGGAGCTTTTGTACCCTGCATCTTTTCCTAAGTGTTTAAAAGAAGGAGGAGTTGGCTTTCTCTGGGAGCCTGTACACAAACCGTGTGATGTCACTGGGACTTGTTGAGTTTTCAGTTCTTGCCTGCAGAGTATCTTACTACTGTTTTGTCCTTCAGTTTCAAATCCCCAGAGCAGTTACTTAGGTGTCCTTGTCTTTTTTTCTTCTACCACTCTCTCCTCAAGGGGATGTATGTGTAAAAGTCAGTGTTTCTTGCACAACACATCCCATGAAGTTTCAGTGATACAATGATACACTGAATGGAGCAATAATTAAATTCCATTCATATTTGTGTTCAGAGAAATTATGGCATTATCATCACACTCCCCCCCTTCTTAAAATTCCTTTCCAAATCAGCTTAAATCCCTCCTCCCTCTGCATTAATTTCAGTAGATTCTGGAACAAAAACAGAGCATGGACAAATTCTTGGTCCTGTTGAATTTAATGGCAAAAACTTCTGTTGTACTGAATTTTGAACAGTGAAAAGTTCGCTTTTGAATGAAAGAGGACAAATATTTGAAGCCCCTTGGGGCTAATGAAAATCTGTCATTTGCTGTCAGCTGGATTTGCATCAGTGTAAGATAAAGTAATACGTATTTTGATAAAACACAGACAAAACCCATTCAAATATGGTGTGAAAGTAGTTACATGTCTAGTACTAGAGAAATTTTCATCACATAATGAAAATTAATGTTTAAAAAATTATTACCTCTGCAAAGGTAGACACATCATGCACTGTCTTAGCATTTGAGATGTGGTCATTTTAAAAGCCAAGAACCTTGGCAATGCCCTTTGGAGATTAGTGTTTGTTAACAGTGTACATTAGGAGTCAAGCAATCACAGAGAGTGCAATTAAGTGCATAATCACAGATATTTTTGACATCTGTCTACTTATAGGCTCCATGGCATTTTTTTTGCATCTCTCCCCCTTGTGTCTTCAATTAATTTATCGTGACCATCTGTGTTGTATTTTTTGCTGCTCAGCTTGCCTTACTACATCTGTTTTTTGGCTGAGTATTTCATGACACTTCATCATTTTCACTCAGAGCTAAAAGAAAAGAATTTGCATTTACTCAGTTAAGTTGCTTGGTTAAGATAATCAGCAATTAAACAGACCACTACAGTACTGTTAAATGATTCTTAAGTGGTGAGCAGAAAGGCAAGAAGGAAGCAGCAGCAGTTTAGAAACTGCAGCTCAGGTTTTCTGGTGTGCACAGAGTTAAAACCATCAGGGTTCTACTTCTCCTCCAGTGCTCACTCTCAGAGAAAGGGGACATGCCATGGCAGGGAAGGTGTTTGGTTGTTGTGCTCTGGGTAGTGTCCATCAGTGTGACTGGTTTGGAGGTGCCCAGCTAACCACACTCAGTGCCTGGGGGTGGGGGATGCTCACACCAGGAGCAGAGCAGACCCAGCCTCCCCTGGCTGACTGCACTCTGTCAGAAGGAATCAGCAGTGAAAGCTGACTGCGCTGTGTGGGCAGTGCAAGCAGCAGAGAAGAAACATTTGTAGGTTTTATTTCCTAGTGCCACTGAGGTTAGAGGTATAGTGCTCCTCATAGGCAACTCATTCCATCTTCATTCAGTGATGCAAACATTTTCTTCTGCTTTCCTTTGAAATGTTTATCTCAGGGGCTCATCCACAAGAAATATTTGGCCATGATACAAGTCTTTTCTCTGAGGTCACTGCTTATGCCTGATTTTCTGTCCTTAAATTTCTTCCTTTGCTCTAGTTAATACTAATTTTAAGCAATCTTTTCCCACTCCTGGCATTGTAACACCCTGTGATTCTCTTTTCTATGGCTTCGGGATTCTAGGTTTTAATAATCCATAGCTATCATCTTCTCCTAAAAATAAAGAAAAAAGGCATCAGAGCCTACTCAGATACAGCAAGGGGCCTGTCACTCAAGAGCTTGTAGAAGGTGACAGTAGAAAGGCTGTTCACTGCAGTCACAGCTCTCCCTGCAATAACTCTATGGTAAGTTTATCCAAGAGTCCTGGACAAAGTACAGCCCACTCTGAATGGTTCTGACTTTTCCTGAGAAAAGCCTGTATACCATGCCCATCACCCAGCTGTGCTCTGGAACACCATATCTAAGCACCTGTCCTCTGCTGACCCAGGACACTCCTTTCTGAGCTGATTGTTTCAACCTCCTGGGCCAGTGGTCCCTGACAGCACACCTCCAGCACCAGAGATACCAAACCCAAATGTTTCAGCACTTTTGGGAGAAAGGGGACAGGGAGAGGGGAGAGAAAAAAATATGGGCTTGGAAAGACATTTATTCTTAAATGGGCATCAGCCTTGCAAAGCCTGGAGACTGCTGCTGGAGGCTGAATGAACTTTCTCTTGTTTTGCTCATGGTACATTTCTGTGTGGGTGGGCTAACTGGATTTGAAATAAACAGCATGAAGATCTTTCCAGTAAATGAAAAACTGTTTTGCTGAGGGAAAACAAACACTAAAAAATAACCCCAAAAAACAAACAAGGTATATTACACTGATTACTCTGAAAGTGGCACTTTTCTAAGCAAGATTGTAAGTCTATGAAAAAGCAGGGTTCCCTCCGTGAGCCCCATTATATTAACTAGCACGTTCCAGCAACTCAGCCAAAAGCCAACAGGCCAAGTACAGCCCTACCATATTAAATTTGCTTTTTGTCAGCGATTGAGTGAGATTATTTGCCTGTGATTGGACCTATGCAGAAGATAGCAGCAGTATGATTGTTACTGGTTGGACAAGTCCATCCTTAGTGCCATTGTCAGAGGTCCATGACTTTGACACCAAAATATGAAGGCAATACCTGCAGTGTTAGCAGTGTGCTCAGGAGAGTCAGGTCAGCATCTGACAAATGGTGAGAAATAGCATGTGCACTACACTACACACTGTTCAAATGCACTACAAACTGCAATATGCTGAAACCTGATTGTCATGGAGTGTCCTGGAAAATGTACCACTGAATAAATCTTCCCTCCATCTCTGTTACCAGAGCGTTGCTACCAAGCAACTGATGATCAGATGCTGACTGATCTGGTAAGTCCTATCAGTACAACAGCAAAAGAATCCTTGGTTTCAACTGCTAAATAAGGTATGGGAGAGATGAATGATTTTTCAGTTTTGAGGCTTATATATCTGTAAGGAAATGTTCCCAGAGATATTCCCCAGTCATCAGTGTCTCTGATTCATGACAAGAACTTCCAGGAATTCACAGTACTGAAAATATAACCTGGAAAATACACCTGAAAACTAAGCATTTTCAAGGGGGTTTTGTTCTGTATTAGAGTTGATGACTTTTAAATAGGTTTTAATGTATGAAAATATAATGGTCTTTAATTGTGTAAAATTACTTTTTACTTAAACTCAACAATCCATTTAGAGCAGAAAATACCTAGAATGCTATAAACCTCTACAAACTGGACTGGCATTGAAGCTCAAGACAGACAAGCAATCCTCCACAGCTAATTAGCAAAGAAAAATGCTTCTAATCTCTTTGCTAGTCCAGTTGTAGATTTTGATCTAATAATAAACTAAACCTTAAACCCCCTCATCCTCATACATTTTAATTTAGACTGCATTTGGCATCCTGTAATCTGTAATTTTTTTAGCTGGGCTATTTTGGTCTGTGTGTGTGCTGCACACACATACATGGTCTGAAACACCTCTGTCCTCTGCCTGTGTGAGTGCTGCATAAATACCAAGAACTTGGGCCATAATTTATGAAAGCTTTTCAGTGGGGGCATGATTGATTTCACACACATGCTCAGGTTGCACGTGTGTTCCTGTGCTGTTCTTACCCAAGGCTGCAGCTCTGCAACCTTCTGACATAGCCTGGCTCTCCTGGAATTTGCTGGGGGGTTGGCCAATGATGCTGGGGATGGTTTTACACATTTTTGCACTGTGGAAAGAGGCTGGATGAGGAACTGGGGGCTCACAGAGGATACTGTGGCTGTGTGTGACTGGGACCATCTTATTCAGCCCCCTGCAATGAGCAGGGACATCTTCAGGTAGGTCAGGCTGCTCAGAGCACTGTCCAACCTGCCCTTGAATGTTTCCAGGGATGGGACATCCACCTTCTCACTGGGCAACGCGGGCCAGTGTTTCACCACCCTAATTCTTCCTCCTCTTCCTCTCTCCCACGCCTTTCCAACTCCCGTGCCGACCCCTCATCCTTCTTCATCTCTCCAAACCCAGTGCAACCCTTTTGGCCTCTGTGGCCGAAGCCCGTTCTGTTCCGTTCCCAAAGGATTGGCGAGAAATGAATTAATAGATTCAGTTTCCGCGCCGTTATTTGTCGGTGCAAACTCAACCTACAGCCGTGAGTCCCCGCGGGGTCTGCTGGTGCCGGTGCCGTGCCGGTGCCGTGCCGGTGCCGTGCCGGTGCCGTGCCGTGCCGGTGCCGTGCCGGTGCCGGTGCCGTGCCGTGCCGGTGCCGTGCCGGTGCCGGTGCCGGTGCCGGTGCCGGGATGCCCGGGCGGAGCCCAGGGCCCTGGACCGAGCGGGCTCTCGGTCGCTGTGGGAACGGCGGCGGGCGGGGCGCGGGGGCGGCGGCGGCTGCGGAGCGGCGGCTCCGCTCAACTTCGGCGGAGCGGCGGCGGCGAGAGGCGCTGCCCGGCCGGGCGCCGGCGGCGGGACGGGAGCGGGCACCGCGGTGAGGAAGAGGAGCGGGAGGAGGAGCTGGGGACACCGCCAGCGGCGGCGGGCGGGGTGCCCGCGGGGCGGAGGTGGTGCCCAGCGGAGGGGAGCCCGGGGCTGGGTTCCCCTGTGCCCGAGCGGCTCCCGGGGCCGGGTTCCCCTGTGCCCGAGCGGGTCCCGGGGCCGTCCCCCCGCTGGGACAGCCCCGAGCCGCGGGGCACGGCCGGGGGGCGGCGGGGGCGAACCCCCCGGTGCCGCCTGCAGAGTCCCAGGGCCCTCGAGCATTTCTCCAAAGGGCCGGCTCAGCGGCAGGGTGGAGAACGCCACAAAGTTTTCGTGGTTTAGAGGGACTTTTAAACAGGTGCCGAAGTCTGGCTGAGCCGAGAGGTGCCGGCTCTTTGCCGGGAGGCTGTGTGTGTGTGGAGGTAGCGGACCGAGCCCTAATCGCTCAAAAGCACTGCCGTAAGCCCAGCTGTTGTATCTCGTCACCAGGGCTAATCCATACCCCAGTGTGGGTTTAAGCCTGCTGTGCCATTTAGAGGGCTTGACTTCAAGCCACGTCCTCCTCCTGGTACCCTCTCCGCTCGCCCTGGGTCCGTCTGTCCGCGGGAGCAGCGGGAGCGCTGGTGCCAAAGGTGAGGCGGGAAGGGAAGGGAAGGGAAGGGAAGGGAAGGGAAGGGAAGGGAAGGGAAGGGAAGGGAAGGGAAGGGAAGGGAAGAAGGTGGCCCGGGCCCTCTGGCAGCTCTCCCAGCCTGGGCTTGGGCACAGCTGCCTGGATCTTGGATAAGCACTGGGTAACTGGTTATGTAAGGATGGGCAATCAAGGAGGAAAGTATGGTTTATGCTGCTTTATGCTTATACCATTTTTAAAATCTCTGTGATTTGACACCTGCCCTGCTAGGTGTCTGCAGTGTGGAAGTTCAGTGTTTGTCAACCCCAGTGAGGTACCACGAAGGTCAGGCAGACAACTTCTGGATTATGGCAGTGTAACTAAGCATAGAACACACTTGTGTTTCCTAATGCTGATAGATTAATTAAAACCCATGTGAGGACAGTTCTATTCACTGCTCACAGAGACTGCTCTCTCTGTGCCTGCAGGTGGGACATGCAGCTATTCCAGAGTGGAAAGCATGAGCTTTCCCAGAGCTCTGCCAGTGCTGTGGGTGATCTCAATAAAGACAGGCTTAAGTTTTCAAGCTGGAAATTTAGCATTCTTCTTTTGGTTGCAAATTTTAGAACAATGTATATTTTTTAAGATGTAGACATTTAACAATGACATTTAACATTTAGCAATATTGCTCCTGTCACAATGATCAAACTAGTATTCTGCAGTACAGAGAAAACTCTGCAGTGAATGGAGGCAGAGTGGGACTTTGAGGACAATATTTTTTCGGGTAGATATTGTACCTAAGGTTTGGTCCTGAACAAAAATGTACAGGTGTCTCTTAAACTGCATTCTCACCTTACGATGCAATGAGTTACTCCTGCTTTCCCAGACGAATCAGTCCCCAGTCTGGATGGAGAATGCACATTTCACCTGCCCATTTTCACAGCACTTAGTCTGGTTTTCACCACAACACATGGATAAAAATACTTCAGAGGACCTGATGACAGGTGGAATATGCCTCTGGGTCAGAGTTTCAATCTCTTTATATAACTCTATATATGAGAATCTGCAGTGGATGACAGTATTAGAAACTCCAATCTGTGATATTACTGCCCCTTTAATAACATTGTGTGGTTAGTAGTAGAATAGAGAAAGATGAGCTGTGGATCTCTCGGAGTTTTAATTCTGAAAGACGTTTGTATTGAAGCCTTCCATCAGATGCTATTACAGCTTTATTGCAGAATACTTTTTTTTTTCTGGTGGTTTGAATTATTTTAATAACAGAAAAGCTCTGGGTCTGTGCTACCTTCTGAACTCTCATTTAGAAAGCTGAATGAATGGTGAAGAATACTTTATATCCCTCTGTCCTGACTGGAAACCTGGCTTTGTAGTCTGCAGAGATCAAAGCAAGGTATGGAACTGAAGGTGTGTTTGATCCACCATGGCAAGATCTGAGCAATATATAGGAGTTTTAAACTAGTCAGTCAAACAGAGCAATTCATTGTGCTTTAACTTCCTGTCTTCTGTAGGTTTAGGTAGCAGTGTAAATTGTATGACAGAGTGCTTTTATGGTTGCTAGTAGAAACATTGTTTCAAGCATAAGTGAGAAATTGGCATGAAAATAGTCCTGGTTTTCAACAAAGGGAGCTCATTTGCTTTGGTAAGTAGACAAACTGCAGAATACTGCTCTGCTTCATGAGCAGATTTGAGTAGAACCCACCCTTTTGCTTCTGCAGATAAGACAAAGATTATTTTCTCTAGAGAGTGTCAGGCATTAGGAAAGCTCCAAGCTATTGGGCCCTTCCTTCACTCTTTCTTTAAGATTGGATTTTCATCTGGAGTTAATCAACAGAACTCTCCTTTATTTCAACGAGGCAAATCTGTTTTACATTTGTGCAGCTTTGCTGTAGATCATGAAGCTGTACCTGTTAAATCAGCTACCTTTTCTCATTGATTTTGGTTAGTGACTGAAAACCATCTTTCTCATTCATACCTGAACTTGGAGCCCAGTTTGCTCTGAATTCTTGTTTCTTTACCCCTCTTGCAATCAAAATGCAGATGTAAAAGGCATCATATACACTCGTTTTCTAGAAGATTGAAACGCTAAGAATGTATTACAAACTACACAAATGCTGGGGAGATAAGAGCAGTACTTTTAGTGTATTCTCAATTTTGGAAGCTTTCATTTAAAAAAACCCCAACACCTTGTGGGGGCTACCAGCTGTAGAAAATGTGACATATTCATGTATATCATCACTGTTGTGGTATTTCCAGAAGGCCGCTCAACCTTTCCTTTAATAGAAATAGTACCGCTTTTGTTTCTTTTCTGTTCTGCAGCACCTTTGGTTCACTCTGAGTGCCCTCCTGTCACGTTCAGTAGTGCTGATTTTTACTCATGCACCTTCACTAAAGGTTTAAGTGACTTGTAACTCCCTGAGGCAACGACAGCAGACAAAGAGCCAGTCCCTTTCTATAGTGCTGCCAGTGCCAAGCCTGCTGGAGAAAAGTGAATGCAGAAATGGGCTGCATGCTGAACAGCAGCATGGCTGTCATGCTTTTTTGGGAGTGCTTGTCGCTCGGGAGTGGAGCTGGGCAGCAGCAGGAGCTGTCAGCCCAGGGCAGGCAGGTCTGACCCTGAGCGCAGCCGTGCTGGGGACAGACAGACATTGCCTGGCATGCAAGGGCCTGCTGGGTGCCACAGTGCCCTGTCACAGATGGCTTTGCTCCTGGATGCTGCTGTGAGGTGCTTTTGGCTGTCCTTAAACACCTGCAACCACAAAAACTTGACAGTAAGGTTGCCTTTAAAGCACTCGCTTCATCCCCTGCACTTCTGTTATTCAAAGCTCCTTGCTACTTGTAACAGGGTCATGTACCTGGAAATGTGTTAACCACTGTATTTTTCATTTTTTTTTTAGTCCAGAAATAGCTTGTGTCCATCACAACAGGGGAATCAGTGTGCTTATAAAGCAAAACACAGGTTTTCTGCTGTGGTCTATAAGCAGACTCTTGAATGTCCTCCAAAGTCCTCTGTCTTTATTCTGCAGGTCAAAGTGAGGAATGCTGCTGTGATAATATCATGATATTTACATTGCGTTAAAAATTCTTGATTGACAAGCTCTACCTACTGCTTTTTCAGCATTAATTGCCTCATAGCATCTCAGGCTGAGGTTATAATATTTTCCACTGAAATTACAATCACGTGGCAAGTAGCTGTAAACACCTTAGCTTTCCATGTCACTGAACAAGACAGGAGATTCCAGGCAGATAGGAAGTAGAGTTCTTTGGGCCCTGATAAGGTAAAATTCTCTGTATGGAGAGAATAATGGCAAGTACGTTAAAAAAAACCCACAGAATATCCTCAGTTGGAAGGGATGGACAAGGGCCATTGAAGTTTAGCTCCTGTACCTGCACAGGGCATCCTGAAGTGTCACACCATGTGCCCAAGAGTCCAAATGGTTCTTTAATTCTGTCAGGCTGGTGTTGTGACCAGTTCCCTGGGCAGCCTGTGCCAGTGCCCAAACACCCTCTGGGTGAAGAACCTTTTCCTGATATTTAACCTAAACCTGGCCCGACGACTTCAGGCCATTCCCTTGGGTCCTGTCACTGGGCACCACAGAGAAGAGGCCAGTGCCTGCCCCGCTGCTTCTCCTTGTAAGAAAGGTGTAGACTGCAGTGAGGTCTCCCCTCAGTTTCCTCTTCTCCAGGCTGAACAGAGCAGAAAGTGCTGGAGAACAGAGAACAGGGATCCTTTTACAAAGCTATGGTGGACTGTATAAATAAAATTGAGAAGGTGTTGGCAGCAGTTTCTTAGTTAGAATTTGCTAAGATTCTTTGGAACAAAATTAAAATATCTTAATCACAAGCAAAATAGATTTTGAGGTTCATCTTTGATGCTGTTGCTACTTAATGCTCCTTCAAGCAGATTGTGCCAGCAGCATAGCCATGACCACAATTTCTGCCTGAGCAGCTGGTTAAACATTGCATCAGTTAGCCCAGAATTCAGAGATGGGTGTAGCCAAATCAATTTCAATCTCCTTTAGCCCAGAATTCAGAGATGGGTGTAGCCAAATCAATTTCAATCTACCTATGAGATGAAGTCCAAGCAGGTATTTGATACCTTTTGGTATCTGAAAGACACTGGACTTTCCTGGACAATGTAATTCAAATCTTACTAAAGAAGTAAATAATTTAAAACAAATTTTAATGTGCTCTGCAGTTTGACATTATCTCTTTTTCCTGTGACTATGTGTCTTCTAAAAGGCACAATTATGGGGACAGTTTGGAGATTGGACCCACTTTGGAAATAAATTTCCTTGTTTGTTACCCTGTGATCTGGCATGTGTGGAAAAAGGCTAAGTGGGTATCTAGCATGAGCAAATTCTGCTCTCTGACTGTAGCTATAAGGAACTACCACCCACAAGTTGGGAGGGAAGGCATTTCCCTGCTCCTCAGCCCAGTTTGTTGGCATGCTTTGACTGGAGGATGATGGAATTCTTGGAAATCTGTCTACAGCCGAGTGACAGCCTTTCTATTGACATCACTGGATTATGGATTAGGCTTCTCTCATGTAACCCCTTTAAGGCTTCTCCTTCTTCTCCTACACAATCACCACACCCCTGAGATCCTTGAGAGTCACACAGGATGGTCAGCAGCACTCCTGGACTGTGAAGGCAAAGGCAAACCACAGGAGATTTGTCAACAGAGGACATACCTTTATAGAGAGTCCTATTCTACTCTTACTGTTTTTTCAAAATGCACATTTCCCACCCTCTGCATACTCCTATCCTGGAGGGTCCTACAAGCTGGGAGCCAGGAGAAGGATCAATGGAATGCAATTTTCTGTTCTCAGAAGTTGATTTTCTATAGGCTAAACTGGCCCTGCTGATTGACTCATGGTTTACCAGAAAGCAGCCCTGCTGTAACAAGTCTTAGCAAGTGGTGATGCAGCCTGCAGGAGCCTGGAGGAGGCTGTGCCTGTCAGGTTGTATGAACAGCCTCCAGCTGGCCAAAGACCAGCCAGAGAGCAGC